AACGGCTTGCCTCCCAGAGTTGTGGATGCTGCATCGCTGGAGCTCTTCAAAGATAGACTGGATCACCATTTGAGGGGGATGGAATAATAAGGTCTCCTGCCTTGAGCTGGGGGTTGGACTAGAAGACCTTTAAGAACCCGTGATTCTGGGTTCTATGATTCCAGAACCTAGACGCAGGGGTAGGCAACCTTGGCTCTTTTATGACTCGTGGACTTCAACTCCCAGAATTCCAGAGCCAGCATGGCTCAGCTTGGAAACCTCTTCCTTTCTCCTCAGCATGGCTGGCTCAGGAATTCTGGGAGTTGAAGTCCACGAGTCATGAAAGAGCCAAGGTTGCCTACCCCTGATCTAAGGAAAAAAGCAAAGACAAAATCTATATGTGGACAATGCCTTTTGTTGGGCCAGACCTCAGAATGAGCAAGGTTGACGTTCTCCAGAACTCCTCTTCAGAATTTTCTGGTTTCTGAAGGGTAAATAAATTTCAGGATCAGGAGGTTTATTCTTCAGCCTCTTGTTTTTAAATATTTATCTTTGGGATCATGAGGCCTGAACATGAGTAGTTTGCCTAATTAACAGGAAGGAGCTTTAAAGTATAAATAGAAATGTCTATTTGAAATCCCCAGCTGAGTGTGGGATGTATGTGAGAAGTATAAAATCCAATCAGACATGAATAAAAAGATGGTCCTGATGTTGGACCACTTGCTTCAATTCCAGCCCCAAAAGGTATTAAACAAGGTTGCATTCTCGCCACTATTTAATTGTTGCATACGTGTTATGGCTCATGTGTTACCTAAGCAGGAATTCCATCCTCCAAAATTATAGTCTGATTTCTTTGTTGCTATATACCATCAACACTATAATTTTCTTTATCACAAGTAGGTATTTTCTGCATATTCAGAATACAGATAGCCATAAGTCAAGGGCTCTTTGTATTATGAATATTGATTCATTTACTTGCAAGATCCAGTCTGGGCTGGTCACCAGGACCAAAGGTTTAGTCTTCCGAGCTTTTGGACCATGCTGGAGCCCATCCATCCTGAGGATAAGCTCCAGTACGAGTCCAAAAGCTCAGAAGACAAAACTTCTAATCCTGGTGATTGACCCAGATTGGATCTTGCAATATTATCCTGGGGCACGTATATTTACCTTCATTCATTCATTCATTCATTCATTCATTCATTCATTCATTTATTCATTCAGTGACAAAGGTTACAATGACCCTGAAAAAAGTGACTTACGACTGTTGCACTGCAGCATCCCCATAGTCATGTGATCAGAATTCAGATGCTTGGCAACTGGTTCATATTTATGACGGTTGCAGTGTCCCAGGATCATGTGATCGCCTTTTGCGACCTTCTGACAAGCAAAGTCAATGGGGAACACATAACAACCATATTACTAACTTAACAGCTGCAGTGATTCACTGAACAACTGTGGCAAGAATGGTTGTAAAATGGATCCAAAACTCACTTAACAACTGTCTCGCTTAGC